GGGATAGTTATCTAATCATCACTCAATGTTCTTTGTAAATCTGTGGAGTGATGAGGCCCGAGCCTCGACGCCAAACTCAAACTATATGCTGCTTATAATAAACATATTAAGAAACACGTGAGTTGTCTGACTGAACTATACTTGTGGGGACCTAAATCTGTTTACACAGTCACGTGTGGGGACTTGCCTCCCTTATGGGGACAAAATGGAGGTCCCCATAAGGGGAATCATTAATTTTAGGGGGAAGACTTGGTTAGGGTTAGGGTAAGGTTAAGGGTAAGGGTAGGGTTAGGCATGTGTTGGTTATGGTTAAGGTTAGGATAAGTCTCCAGGAAATGCATGTAAGGCAAGGCAAGGCAAGGCAAGTTTATTTATATAGCACCTTTCAACACAAGGCAATTCAAAGTGCTTCCATGTAAGTCAATGTAATGTCCCCTGAAGTGATGTATACATGGTATGTGTGTGTGTGTGTCTGATTATTCCTGGTAAGATTAAGAACACATGTCAATCATTTCTGATTGCCAAAGTCCCACCCATTTTTTTTCCGCCTCCTCTTTGCCACCACTCCTCCCCTCCACCTCTGTATCACCTCTACTGTAGTATCTACTCAAGCTTGCCTCATTAAATGTTTTTTCTCCTCCTCCCTCCCTCCATCCCTCTGCCCCTTTCTTTGATTTACTCAGCCCTGCCTAGGATGATTAAATGTCAAAACAACCACGAGAAAGTGGGAAGAACGCAGGTGGACACAATGTCCCCGTAAATGTGCTTGGAATTGAGGTATACATAAACAAACTGCTCTGAGGGTAAACATGCTAATGGATTAAGTCATCAGCACTGGAAAAAAGTTTGTCTTCATCTCACTGTTACGCGCACACACAACACACACACACACACACACACACACACACACACACACACACACACACACACACACACACACACACACACACACACACACACACACACACACACACACACACACACACACCACACACACACACACACACACACACACAACACACACACACAACACACACACACACACACACACACACACACACACACACACACACACACACGAGGAAGCTCGTGGACTCACCTGTTTTTGGTGATGTTTGCTCAGCAGTTCTAATAATAGTTGGTAGCAGTCGGGGGTCTGGGCCAGAGCGAGACGGCACTCCGAGTAAGAGGAGAGTTTACTGAGGGAGAGAGGGGACAACAAACACACTGACTGTTCCACTCACTCGCAGACATTAAATCAACACTGCTAATGGATAAGCAGCTCTGGTCTGTGATCTACCGCTCATGCTTTCATTATCTTGGGCTGAAAAATACTTCCATTACAATCTAAAGTGCTAAATGTTTCACAAACTGATCAAAAAACGTATGAGACCGACAGTGACAAACTGAAGATGGGGAATGTGGGGCCCAAAGCCCTCTGTCAGTGTCAGGTATGACCAGTATGGGGGTTAACGTTAGCAAACTCTTTAGATAGATCTTACTGCATTACTAAGTTAGTTTTGACAGCTTCACTTATAGAAGTAGTAACATTGTATAGCTAAAACTATGTGTATATAAAATACATTCATATACAGTCTCATAAGCCTGAGTTTAAGCCTGTGTTGATGTAGTCTTCAGTGGTGTTTTATGTGATAGAGATTTATGGAGCTTGTTTGACTTTATTGTCCCCACTGCCATGAAGATCACCCTAATAGTGTTGTCTAACTCTGCAAGTTCATTCAAGAAACCGTTTTACTTTAGTTAGTTTAAATGTGTGAAAGTTCTAACTTAAATTGTATTTGAAACTACACTCAGTGTGACTTTTTTGCATGTAGGTCTTCACATTTAAGCTCATTTGTACATTCTGAAGTCTATACTGAAAAAGCTTTTAAAAAAGTGTTTTTTTTAAATCACAAAAATACGTATAATGACATCTCCTCTGACATATGCTCTGTTTCTCTGGAGACTCTTGTTTTGTGCTACAAACAAAGACTCCAAGTTATAGGGGGGAAAAAATAAAGTAGGGAATTGAGTAGTACAGCGACTGCTGCAGAGAGAAGTGAAAACAGAGAACAGAGGGTGAGAGCTGAATAATGGCTTGTTTTAATTCAGCTCGTGACAGGTTACGATGTTTTTTACGATGTTTTTTTGTAAGTGAGCTGGGGAGAAATAAGGAGCAGATTATCCTTAGGGAAGTAAAAGTGCAATACCTGTATATTCTGGAGATGTTGGTGCAGATGTCTGGGTCTTTGTGGTGAAGACGCAGCACCACAAAGAGCTCTGACAGTATAGAGAAGGAGACGAAGAGTGGACGGGCATCAGGGTGATCTGCAAGGTTCCTCAAGGCTGCCGTCAGCTGCAGGGGTCAGAGGTCAGACAGAGGGAAATATAAGTGAGAGTGTTGGACAGCAAGAATAAATGTACCTGTTAAAGCTAAGGGTTTATATTTAAGCCAGTATTGTGTGTCAGTGTTGTGCTGCACTGAATGTCAGTCATGTGCTTAATAAGGCTGGCAGCTGGCCCGTACAGGACGCCATACAGCAGAGCGATCGGAAACTATTCAGTATGGCCAAGAATAATTATATCATAAGAGGAAAATAGCAATTTTCAACTCACGGCAGCACTGAAAGTTCTGCAAAACCATGGTCTGTTTATTTCCCTCCACTAAGGGCTTAATGAGTTGTGTTAGATATCAAATGAAGTTCTGGCTCAAGATGTTTGCTTGGGCCACATTATGCAGTTAGCAGCAATCATTTTAGAAAGAGGGAAACAGGGTGTTTTGTGTTGCCAGTAGGGAACGGTATGCTCTTGGAGCAGCTTGTATTCCAGTCACAAACACAAGCATTTTTGTGTATTGTGGGAAAATCTACAGCAAACATACACATGATGAAGAATATTTAACATTGTGTTCCTTTGTATTGACTTAACTTTTGCTCGCATAGTAAAACTGTTTGTAATAGCATCTGTGTTTTTGTGAGCAGGAGTATATGCTTCAAGTTTCCACCAGCTGTGGGATACAAGCTATTGGTTTATAAAGAATAATGTACATTACATATCTAAAGATTTATTCCAAATACCCATTCAACTTTCTCAACTGGGTTCATTCTGACACACCTGTACGAGGATGTGCCCTGATGTGGTGAAGTTGGTTTCTCGTGCCGTGCAGAGCCTCTGGATGAGTTTCTGAGCCACACCAACACAGTTCTTGTCCAGCAGGAGTCTGAGGATCGCACTGTTTCCTGAGAGAAATTTCAGAGTCCCAACACAGTACAGCAGAGCTTCTCCAGATGATGACACATCCTCTTTGCTCAAAACGCCCAGAAACGAGTCTGAACACATGAAAAATCAAACATTAGTATCCATAATTCGTTCCCTCAGTGGGACATTGGCAATCTGTAATGCCCTGGTAAACAGGTTCCATAAAAACTGCACCAAATATTACCAAACAGATACAAAATGATGCATGCTGTTGAAGCAGCTTAACATTGTGTTCCCTCATATTCATAAAAATAACATTGTGGCCTTAACTTATATATTTCAGAATACAGGAAAGAATAGGAATAACACTGTAAGCTACATCATGTGACCTGGAACAGTGTTCACCTATGATGGAGTTGTTCTGAAAGAGGATGTCGTTGCTTTCACTGCGGCTGATCTGGAAGATGAGCTTACAGATGTTGAGCAGATTGTTTCCACTGACACACAGCTGCAGAGAAAGATGCAAAAAGAAAGGTGTATTAAGCGCCAGAGTGCCCTGGATGCCCTTGTGGTAGTGACTGAGCGGCAGACATGCTGACACCCCCGCAGACGACTCACAGCGAGGCAGAGCCTGGAGATGTGCAGGTTGAGCCGGGCAGAGTGGAGGTCGATGAGGCGGAACAGCGTTCGAAGTATCCCTGACCTCCTCTTACAGCGCCGACCGAGCATGTCCGCTTCTGCCAAGGTGCCATGGAGACGGTCACACACATCACACAGAGGGTCCACCGAGCCCTCGGAGCTGCCTGGCATCGCAGGAAAAACAGACATTGGCAAAATTACAGGTCCCCTATTATACTGTTTTTCATCAATATAATTTATAGTTCTCAGATATATATAAAATGTCTCTGAAGTGTTTGGCTCAAAATACAAAACAGATCATGCATTGTAGCATCCCATAAACCCCTCTGTTTCAGCCCTGTTTCAAAAGTGCTGATTCTGTGTCTGTTACTTTAGATGAAAATAAGGAGCCCCTCCCCACGCCCCTCTGAGAGATATCTGGTTAAAAAGAACACAATGGTGCTCTAGGAGGAGATTCAGGTGATCAGGTGGGCGGGTGTTACCTTGGTTGGTGATTGGCTAATGGTTACACAAGCCAAAAAAACGTTATGACATCATAAAGTGGCCACAATCTGATCAGCTCATTTCCAGACAGGTTTTTATATAAATGGATCAGAACAAAAAGAGAGGGGGTCTTTGTTCCTGAAACTTTCAGAATCTCTTTACACAGAGGGGACCAGTGTTGGGACTAACGCGTCACAAGTAACGCGTTACTGTAACTAGTACTCTAACGCATTACTTTTTGAATTCAGTAACTCAGTTACCGTTACTACATGGTGCGTTACTTCGTTAGTTTTTTTTATATAGTCAACAGCCAGGCGAACAGAGATGAGAACTGTACTTAAATACAGTACTTGAGTAAATGTACTTTGATACTTCCTGTGTCACATGCGGAGACGGGCTGTGGGCGTGTTTGTGTTGTTTGCTAACAAGACTATCATGGCGGCGGCGGAGCTCAAGTCTAGTTTCTCCACCTGGAGATATTCTCACTATTTCACTTTTGTCGAGCACAAAGAAAAGAAAGTTTCTGTTAAATGTAAGTTGTGTCCTGGCGGGTCAAAGATCGTATCTACTGCCCAAACCAGTAATTCAAATATCTTAAAACAAATGCAAAAACAACATGCTGGGACGAAGCTAGTAGCTAAGATCACAGAGACTCAGCCGACGCCACTCCACCTCCACCTAAGCAACAGCGGCTGGATTTTAACCAAGGGACTGCTGGCCAGGGAAAAGTCGATAAAGCCATTGCACGGTATGTTGTAGAACACATGCAGGCTATTGCTACAGTGGAGTCACCCGCTTTCAGGGAGCTAGTTAGCATGATAGCATTTCCGGGCGGCACACGGCATATGGGACGGAAAACTTTTTCCAACTACCTGGAGAAAGAACAAAAATGGAAAGCCAGCTAATATCGATGCAATCCAGATTGCATATAATGCATGTCAAGTTGATCAACAGATTGTATTATTCTCCAATGCAATAACAGTACTGAAATGAAGGCTATAAGGGCATTAATGGGAGCCCTTTTACCAAGTAACAAAAACGTTACTTTTCACAGTAACGCATTTCCTTTGGGGTTAAGTAACTAGTAAAGTAACTGAGTTACTTTTGAAATGAAGTAACTAGTAATGGTAACTAGTTGCTGGTTTTCAGTAACTAGCACACCACTGGAGGGGACACATGTTTGGATTTTGCATAATAGGGGACCTTTAAGGAAAGTCAAATTCAGGGCAACATGTCAGACATTCAAATGGAAAGCAAACATCCTAAAAACCGAAACACCCAGTTGAGTGTGTTGGAAAGTGTGTATGTATGTATATGAATACAGATGAGTGATGTTTTGTATATGTTGTGGTGTGTTTGTTAAATTCGCTTTGGCTTTGACATGGTGTACTTTTGTCATGAGGTTAACTCTTCAACATCAATAATGCATTGGTCAGCAGTAAAATAACATTCCCCTCCCTTTTTCTGAGAAGCAGCTCTGAGTTTCGACGGTCATGTGCAGGGGAACAACTCGGCTACAGGCAACTGGGATCTTGACGCAGAGGAAGAGAAAAGGGTGGAGTCTTTTCCTTGTTTTTGAGGTAAAATAAATGTTTTCCCTGCATAAAGAACAGGGTTTGGCCATTTCTAAGAAAGGTTGGCTGCAGTCTTACACTCAACACTTCAATGCTATTTCCACTGACTCTGAAGGGTGTTTTATGCATGAACCAGAAGGCACTTGGTAGGCCTACAATAAATATTTAATATTTATCTTTCAAATGAATTTTCCATTAAATTTGTAGAGTGTTAAAATATTTACAGCTGGAGATTTCATTTCATGGCTGCCAGACTGCCGTTTCATGCTAAGACAATTCTGCATGGATGCCAAACATAACAATATTTGGTTTCCTCTTTCTTCAGTGGTTGAAATTAAAGTGCTTTTTCATTCTGTGAGACTTAAAGGTAGGGTAGGTAAGAATGGAGAAACCAGCTCGAGTGCGCTAGAATTTGAAAGTACGGAGCCGAAAAAAATCTGCCCCTTCCTTCAGACTTCCTTACAGAGCCCCTCCTCCAACACACACGAACACGCACATGACCAATGAGGGCATGAGATAAATTTGTGCACGAGATGGAAGGCTGGCAGGCAAGTAGGCCATCCAGTTATTTTAGCCGGGCTGGCTAAAAATGATTGGTCGTGCTTTGTACAGTACCACGGCTTCCACAGATGAAATATTTGTATGTATTTATTGTCAAAGCATTTAATGTATTCATTGCTATCGGGATGTTTCCATGGAAACATGGAGCATTCCATGGAATATAACAAAAAGTGTTTCTGAAGTGAATTACCTACCCCACCTTTAATGACTATCTGCTTTTGCTAAAATCCTGCTGGTTGAAAATGAAATAGTAATAGGGGAAATTAGGAAAAGAAGAAGAAGCTGAAAGAAGCTTACCTTTAATTAAAAAAGAGACAATGCACCCAAAAGGCAACATGTAACATTGAGAGGTGATACTGTGAGTATTTGGTGACAGAAACTGTATGTGTTTTTGGATCAGATGAATGGATGTGTTCAAGACTGATGCACGTCACATCTTTGCATTTTTTTTGTGGGTTTCCTTATTGCATTGCTCACACTACCTGCAGCCATACTCTCTAGTTGTCGGAGAAGAGGAGCAATCGTATTATTCCACACCAATGTCTCTGCATCCTCCTCCTTGCTCTTGGTTTCGTCTCCATTCCCCAGCTCTGAAATGCATGGAGAGAATTGCAGTTAGCCAACAATCACATCCAAACACAGACAGTGAACACGGGCGACAAGCATGGTTCACAAGTTCACGGTCTCAAAATAAAACAGCAGGAAGTTTGATGCCACAATGAAAGGTCACCATCCGCACTCGCTTCCCATAATGTCTGTTTCTGTGCTGAAATAGTCTGTGCGTGGGTATTTTAACGAGTGCATGTGTGATGAAAATGCATGTTTGTGCATGCAAATGTATGCAATCTCTCACACGGCGTGAAGCTTTTTTTGTGCTGAGTATTTGCATAAACCCTTGCTTGGTGAGATGCAGGAAACGGTGGTTGCTCAAACCAACAGCTCTCTCAGCTATTGGCTGGCTTCCTCCCAAGGTGGAAATGTGGCCCTTAGCAACAAAACCTCAATTTAAAGTGTAGGGTGTTCAGTACAGTGAACAGAGGTTTGACTAAGTTGCTGGAAAAAACAGCATTTCTGGGATCAAGTCTCATTGTTTTAAGGCATGCTTGGGTTGGTATCAGTTTGGCTTTAGACATCTAAGATCACTTCCTTGACTCAAAAGTTAGTTAGTTTGAGGTGCTGTTGTCTAAGTATACACGTAGATGTGAAAAACCCCAATGCACTCTCTTATTAAACCATTGAGATGCCTTTATTTATAAGGCCAAGTCAGGGAGTCAGAGCAGATGAAGGTTTAATGCTGAAATAGGTCGGAATTACTTTTCAAGTCATGATTGCGTTTGAATAGTTAAAAAAGACAGTTGATTTTTGCATCACAGACCAATTAATCAAGTGTTGCATGTTCGAAAAAGTTGCACCTGTATTGTTTTTGAATATGTCAATGGTTTAAGAGTGGTATATTGAGTATATCTGAACACACCTGTTGTCTGTCCTGCTCTGCACTCTGTGGGTCTAACGCTGGAGCCGACACCAGGCTGCTTTATTCTGCTGTTCGCACAAAAAAAACACAAAAATGATAGGCACATAGATATAGATTTTGAAGACAAGACACATGCAACTACTGATGAGTGTAGTTTAATTTAATTTAGGAGATTTGGCTAATGTGGGTATCAACATAACAAATAACATAACACAAATATTAAAGGAAGACAGATCATGTCAAAGAAAACATCTCCATTAAACATTGCTGACTATATTCTGTCAACCAGGCTGCAGGTGTATTTCCATCACATGCCACTAGGTGTCCCTGTTGTAGCAGGGGTTGGGACGTGTGTGCAGGTGCTGCTATGTGAAATTTCTTTGTGTACATTTGTGCTGCTTGTGCGTGACAGCTTGGAAGTTTTTGTGTGCGTGCGAACTTTTGTATGTGTGCAGGCGTGCAAGCCGTTGTGCAGCGCATATCCCCAACAGACAGGAACTCAGATCTTAGCTTTGTGGGCAGCCTGGTTAAAGCTGTTCGTGCTGTGTCACTATGACCTGTCTCTGCACAGCCCTATCACCTCTGTGCAGAAACCTCCCCCTTGTCATGCTATGCTATGTGCTGTGGCTTCCCTCTGTATGTCACTGTTGCATCTTACTCTTGCTGCCACTGTCAACTTAAGTCTGCACAATTCTGTTCACACACAGAGAAGACAATAAATACTGTGACTCACGACTGGAAGTGTGTCTTATGCCTAATTACTACATTAGAACATAGTTATTAATACATACAAATAAGTACAAGCAGCATGGTGAGTCATTCTGATAACAAGATTTACTTCACAAATCCCACAAAAGAGTGAGTCTACTTTAGAAAAACATGGAAATCACTACAGTCAAAGACAGATATAATTATGACTCTCTGCTGATTTGACATTAGTACAAAAGGTTAGCTCTCAGCGTATTGAACTTTTTCATTCAAGTATGTCTTATTTTAATGATCTTGCTGACAGGTATGAGACAGAAAATGGACCTTTAATATTACCAGTAGGCGTTGCTTGATACCGTTAGCATTAATATACAGCGTGTGCGTGTGACTATAGAGTGCACAGTCACTTTGAAGGAGATTGTAGTGATTGGTGTAAGCTGGCACACAGGGCAGATGCAGCAGGGAGTGCTGGCCGAGGCCTGTTGCAGTGTGTGTCAGAGGGGGCTTTGGCTCTGTATGATAGGATTAAGAGGCTGATAATAAGGCCTCTTTGTGTGATACTGCATTCTCGGAGACATGACCTCATCGCTGTCTTAGGCCTGGCCAGTGCACTGCAGTCACAACACACGCGGCTGCCAGCCTTACCCAGATGGGCACCCAAATCTAATAGAGAGCCATTTGGAGCTATAAAGCTCTGGCTTATTGGAGAAAAAGAACCTAGTGGATGTCTAATCTCCCCTATCTTTATATCGTATCCAATTCATCATATTAATCTGTCATACTAAGTCTATTTCCACTTACAGTCACTGTACTTTTGGCTTTGTTATCTCTGTGATTTTCACTTTCTTAGTCTCCATCCAACGCACCTTTAATGCAACACTTAGGAAAAAGCACTTAAAAACTCTGACCTAACAACAATCAAAAAGTCTTTACTCTTGTCCTCTTGAAACACACATTGACCGAAGTCTCAGTTCTCTTTTTTTCAGCCACATATTACACTAACATTGCGTGTTAACTTGTGAGGGAGGAGGTGCAGAGCACGTGCTGCAGGCGATAACCCAGATTTCCTGTAAAAGTGTTTTATGGTCTGTCCCCCCTCTACAGCCTCAGCTGCCCCAGCCAATCGATAGGCGGATGGATTGTAACGACGGCCCCTGACCTCACGCACAGAATTATGCCCCTCGTGCTGACACACAGCTGATGAGGTCGGCAGAAAAAAGCAGCTTTTTAGCCTTTTTGTGACGTGAAGGTGTAAAAGCTGACACGAGTTAGTAATGACAGATAGACGCAGTTTTTTGGATTTCACCAAGATATAGTGTACAGTAAACTTTTATGACGGCTTTGAATGGTGTGTTAAGTTGAAGAACTTGTTCTGGTTAGTGACAGCATTGCTGTTTTTTCCAACGTCATATATAGCTGTCAGTGATGGTAGCTGAACATATCTAAAAATAAATCACAGTAACTAACACTGAATTTGAGTTTGTCTATGTTAGCCCCTGTGCTATATAACACTAAGAGCTATAGCAGTTTCCAGGGCTGTGTTTTAGGTTTTTTGTTAATATGTGGGAAATAACTCAGGCATAGTGCAAAATAACGCAAACGCTAATAATGATTTCAGCTTCACTAAGGTCTTTCCTGTTATAACACCTCTTCCTATCTTCTAGATTATTTATGGACTAAAACAGGAACACAAAAAGACATTAGAAACTCAGAATTGGACAAACTGGGGCAAGGCAAGTAGGAGAAGAAGGAGGGGGAGGAGGATTTAGTGGGAGGCACAATCGACTCCATCGTGTAATGGCTACCACTGCAACCTTTGTGCGCCAATAAATCTTCGGGTCATTGTCACACTGTCATTCTGGGAAGAAAAGGGGGAGCAGGAGATGGTGGGGGGGGGGGTGAGGCAAGAGACAAGGACAGATCTTGCAAGTCGAACAGAGGGGTAGAAAGCGTACCTTTCACTTGCTGCTCTGCGTGGGCCAGGTTTGTGAGGACCACCGCGGGCCTCGGTGTGGTCAGAACTGGGGAGTCGTTTAAGTGACGCCTGCTTTTGTCCCGGGCCTGGGTTTACTCGCTCTTTCACTGAACACAGAAATGATGTGGCAAGATGTTATTTACAGGTTGTTGCAATATGCAGCAGTAACATTTGTACTTATATGACTCAGTTACTATGAATAAGATACCATATATGCACAGGATAAATTCAGTCAGTCCTCATCATCTATTTAGTTGCTTTGGACAGCAGAGCAGATTTGCGAGACAAGGTTTTAGAGAAAGAGAGAAGCCTATCCCACTCAAAACAGCGGCCGTAGATCACGATTTTCACCCGGCCGACCACAAAGCATGTAAATCAGGTAAAATGTCAGCATGTGAATGGCTCCATTCATTTCCCCTTTGAGAAAACCGCTCTTGCACTAGTGCCTGCAGAGAAGATTTACAGGGATGCGACTGGTGAAATAAATGGAGTGTAGTTTTCTCTTCTACCTGTGTAATAAAATTAACCATCTAATACCTTCCCTTTATATAATTTTCTTGGATTGCATGGATGCCTCCCTTCAAATAATGACTTAACTTTCAAATGATTTGACAGGGGCCACAGGGGTTGCATTAAATGAAGTGTATCCCATGCATTCTAGGTCTTGTAGCATGCGGCTAGTTTGCAGCCCTTGTCCCTGGGTAGGCTTTTAAGAAATAAAAACACATAATACAAACGTAAAAAAAACAGGTATAGCCAAAGAGATTCTGCGGGCCTTTAATTGTAAATGTGGACTGATTGAAGGTTGTTCTTCAGTCTCTAGTAACTGCTCCCCTTATGGATCCTTTACTGTTATATTTTACAAGGATTTCTCTGACTAGTTCTGGGACAAGGCCATTTGCCCACTTGAAAATCTATTTTACAAGTAATAGATTTCTACAATTCTCAAAGCTTAACAAATGTACTTTCTTTGAATTCTACAATGGTGCTTCTAAACCCCATGTATCAAATATTTTCTCTCACTAAAACAAATCCCCCATATATTTCTCCTTCCTTACCATCTTTGTGTCCCTCTATAAGGGACAGTGTGGTGAGAGATCCAGCTCTGAGTAGGCGGGCCCTCGTCCGTGGCTGCCGCTTCTTCGCTTCCAGAGGGTCAGCGGGGGGTTTTGGAAACGCCTTGAATGGATCCTCATCATCGCAGGGAACTGGCAAATGTGGCTTCTAGTACCACAAAAAACAATAAATGGAATAAGACGGTTTGACCAATGAGACAGAAACTGAATCTCCATATTAAACAAAAAGAGAATGAAGTATTTTGGTATTTCTATTCATACTTTTTGAATTTGCTACTGCATACATACCAGTGATACCTTTTTTTTTTAACGTTTTTTCAGTTTTCAATAGTATTATTAATACTATTGTACTATGCAATTCTTTCCCTGAGCTGACATTAAACATCATCTTAATTAGACTCTAAAATACAATTTGAACTACCATTTAAAGATGTGTGTTTGTGACTTACATGGTCCAGAGGAGAGAGGCGAGTCCCTGAGCCTGGCCTCGAGTCAGGAAATTCAAAGTTTTGTGCATGAAGACTGAAAATAAAAAAATAAAAAGCATTATTTCTGCTACATGGTAGGTGCAAAACTCAAATTGTCTCAGAACCTCAAATCATGAAGGATGTTGAAGTTTGTGACTGACCTGAAGGTAGATGGAGGTCGGTTGTCACGGTCTACACCAGCAGAGCTCTTTCCAAAAAGTTGCCTGTGTCCATCTCTGGGAGTGAACGGTCGCTGGGTGGACTGGACTCGCAGGGACTGTCTGGCTTCACTGACTATTTCTGCACTTGTTTTCCTCACAGCGTTGCGCCGTGGAACAAATGGACTGAGAATCGGCTGTTTTCTCTCCATTGAGGCCATTTGCTGCCAAGACAGTCTGCCAATTATTGTCTTCAGTGGTTTGACTTCATTATGCAATGGTTACAGGGTGTCTCACTGATGGGACACAGTCTGAGGTATAACAAAAAAAACAAGGATAAGGCCAGAAGAGAAAAATAACACCAGGTGTAAAATGCATCCAAGTTGCAATGAATAACAGTTACAAAACGACAAAATAAAGTGAATCTATGTTTACAAATGTCCTGCATACTCAAAGTATAGTGGATCCATAACAAAGTTTACCTAAAGTAAAAGTAACAATTTCACCAGGAGACTATTCTCCAATTCAAACACTGAGTAAGTGCATTGAACAAATCAATGACTGGATGTGTCCGAACTTTCTCCAATTAAACAAAGATAAAACTGAGGTAATGGTTTTTGGAGCCAAGTCAGAACGTATACAAGTTAGCGCTGAGCTTCAGTCTGCAATGTTCAAAACAACAGATAAAGCCAGAAATCTAGGTGTAGTCATGGACTCTGACCTGAGTTTCAACAGTCACATTAAAACTGTTACTAAATCAGCCTACTATCACCTAAAGAATATATCTAGGATTAAAAGACTAATGTCACAGCAGGATTTGGAGAAACTTGTCCATGCTTTTATCTTCAGTAGACTCGACTACTGCAATGGTGTCTTCACAGGTCTCACTAAAAAATCTATTAGGAAGCTGCAGCTGATTCAGAACGCCGCTGCTCGAGTCCTCACTAACACTAAGAAAGTGGATCACATCACTCCTGTTCTGAAGTCTTTACACTGGCTTCCTGTGTGTCAAAGAATAGATTTCAAAATACTGCTGCTGGTTTATAAAGCACTGAATGGTTTAGGCCCAAAATACATTTCTGACCTCCTGCTAAATTATGAACCATCCAGATCTCTCAGGTCTTCAGGGACTGGTCAGCTTACTGTCCCCAGAGTCAGAACTAAACATGGAGAAGCAGCGTTCAGTTATTATGCTCCAAATATCTGGAACAAACTCCCAGAAACCTGCAGGTCCGCTGCAACTCTGACTACTTTTAAATCCAGGCTGAAGACTTATCTTTTGTCGCTGCTTTTAATTGAACTATTCACATCTTAGACTGCACTGTAACTTTTATCCATGTATTTTTTCTTTTAATGTTTATTTTATTAGCTTTTCTTTTTAATGACTGATTTTAAATGCGATTTTCTTAATGTCTTTCATGTTTTGTAAAGCACTTTGAATTGCCTTGTGTTGAAAGGTGCTATATAAATAAACTTGCCTTGCCTAAAGTAAAAGTATGCAATTGTGAGCAGAATAGCTACTTTCAGTTTTATACTACATGTCATGATTGCATTTAAAGCTGTAGATTATTTGTATAATCAATTAATCAGACTCAAACAAACTTAAAATAAAATGGTTAATGAATTTTAGAAACAAAATGTGAAAAGCATTTAATGTCTTTCTAATAGAGGCAAAGCTTATTTCAACAAGATCCTATTGGGTAGTTTAACCAATGCATCAAATAATAGGACATTCATGTTTTGCATGAAATTATTCATCTGCAAACTCCAGATGAATGTAGTGGAGTAAAAAGAACATGCTTCTGATAGGTAGTGAAATAAAAGTATAATGTAGCAAAAAGGTGCAACTGCGTAAGTAAAAATACAAGCACCTAAAACATTTTACCCAATGTTGTACTGTTTGATATAGACTACTGCATGGTGGACACCTCAAATAAGTTAAACAGCGTGACAGTCCAATTATATTGTATCTAAAACGGCAAATAACATCCTAATAATAATAGTTGTCGCATTTGAATAAAGTGCGTAAATATACCATAGGTGTGTTTGTAATTGTCAATGTGGTTACAATTTGAATTAAACTATATGGAAGATAGATAGATATATGCTTTATTTATCCAACATTGTGAAATTGTTTTATATAATAATGTTTTCAGTTTGTTAACTAAATCTAACAGGGCAGCCTGTGTGAGTGAAAGAGTAGTCCCACTGCGCGTTCACGCTCCGTCTCCATGGTGACCAAATGCCGCTGTGGTATATTGGACAACAAACCCCAACAAAATAACCTCAAGAGGCAGAAATAACATATTCCTTTAACCCCGTAAGAACGGTTTTTAACTTATTTTCTGTAATCAAGTGTACACGACTTTTACATGAACAGAGGAGGAGGTTAACTGAAACAGGAAGCGTTTAATGATCCGGGGTTTGAGTTAAAGTCTGTCCACCTAAACAGATAACATTAGTAAAAAACAATTTACCGTTAACCCCAGTTCAATCCTCTGTGATGGATGGGACAGTTATCATTTCAGATCCTTGATTCGGTTTCCAAACACAAAACAATAACAACACCTGAAATGTGTAGACATCTGCTAAGTTTCCCCTAGCTTGCAGCAACATAGCCCCAGAAGGAACGTGCACGAGCTTCACTAATGGCAGTCTCGCGTGATTAGGTGACGCGCATTTACCAAAATGTGGAGGTTGGATGCAAACTTCAGCTTCGTGCGGAAAATTGTAAGTAAAATGAGCAAATTTCCTGGAAATATGTTACTATTCTCCCTGATACATATGTGCTTCGTGTTTGATGTACCACTGAGTTAAAGGAAACTTTATTTTGAAAATGTGTAGTATTTTGTTGGGGCCTAGGACACACACTACAAATGTCCCGGATGATATAACAAAGTTTTAAGGTTATCAAGTTACACTTCACAGCATTAATATAGCAGCAGACAACTTTTTGCTACATATTATTTACAGTTTTTGTTTGCTACCCCAGTTGAATGAAGTCACTCTCCCTGTGCTGTAATCCAAGTTTCTTTTTGATTAAACTTAATTAGCCAGGACGTGCCATGCCCCCATGTAAATGCATGATACCTTGTTTTTAGCTAGCTAGTAGCCCTCATATCATCAGCCTCTCTTTAATTATACTCTTATACCTGTGCAATACAAATATTTTGGTTCATAAAAACACCTAAAAGCTCAAACAAGTTGATATGGTGTAAAACCTTATTTTTTGACTACCTAATTATGATGAAACAAATCAAGAATTATACTTCATAATGTACCTCCTACACTGATTAACAATACAGCACACATCAGTGAGCTACACTGAGGCAGACTATTCTTTCACACACAGTGACGTCACGAGCTACCCACAATGCAACACGTACCATATATATATATAAATACGCCATTTTCATGGAGGTGCAAATATCCTGGAAGTGCAAATATAAACAGCTAGCTAACGTAGCAAGGCAGAGCGCACTAGGTTTTTTTTCTGAATTAACGACCGAAGAAATCGCTGCATGTCTTCGAATTACATCTCTGGACTTGAGGGGTGTGCTCTAGGTCGTTACCAGCGTAAACTAGAGCTGTGTGGGTTGTCGGATTGCCCTTACAGACTGCGTCGATTTTGGCTGCATCTACGTCTAATTTCTGGAAACACCAGGTGAATACCCCACTTGTCACAATAATATTATCATGCCATTGCATATATGTGGTATTTTAGAGTTGACTAGATATCGATTAAGGCAATAGACTATGATATTCAGTACAGGAAGCTTAGCAACACCTAGACGGTGTACGGCTAAACCCTTGGTCTGCTTGCACCTCGCGTAAAACGGCGGATACCGGAAGTACGGTGTCGCCCTCGGCCCAATACCCGTATGTGTGTGTGAAAGAATATGACTAATGTCCGTAGACCACGATGTCTTGACTTTCAGGCTTTGACTGAATATATTTTATTTTCAGTTTGAAGCTTTATAGTAATTTATTTATGTTGAGTTGGTAATTTTGTATGAAAAAGATAGAACAAATAGAAAGAACAGAGAAAAAATATAATGCATACTTTTGTATTACTTTATTGTGTTAGCAGCAATATGCTATTATTTCAAAACGTATTCAAGACAAACTTTCCTTTTTAGAAGATAAACATATAGTAATAATATTAATAATACACTTTTTGTATAGCACTTTTTAAAACATAGTTACAAAGTGCTTTAACATAAAAATACAAAGAAATCAAGTCAATTACAACAGCATCTACAGAACACATTGTAAAACACAGAAAATAATAAAACAAAAATACATAGAATAAGAATAAATGAAAAATAAAACAAGACTACAAATAAAATCACAAAGTGTGTTTTTAAAAGTGACTTAAAAGAGCTGACAGATTTTGCAGCCTTGATCTCCTCAGGTAGAAGGATATATGTGGGGTAAACACTGTAGCAATAATTTGTAAAACCATTTTAAGAAAAGTAGTATTGCAGCTAAGAAGAAACAAACGGCTCCACTGAATATATATATCATAAAGACAATTGTCATCATTACATGTCACTTGTCATCAGAAACTGAATAATTTTGCTGTTACAATATGACATCAACCCTAACTACTTGAACTTTTTTAATATAGACTTACAAATAGACCAAATATTTAATTGCAATAATATAACAACAAAAAAACAACCTTTTATCACAAATCTGAAAACAAAAATTCTCAAGCAATTGAAAATATCAGTTAGCAGTTTTAGTATAGAAAAATCAGTCATCTGTGTTGATCTCTAAAATATATTTAAAGCAAAAATAATAGATATAATAAAGTGTGACTTGAATATATATCAAACACTGTATATTTTGTACATTTTGCTTTCGTAAACCTACACTTTGAGGTTTATTATCCTCATGAGGCAGGCTTCTTATTCTACTACTTTCTGACTACAATTCCCATAACGCCGATTGGTGTAGTCCTGTTGTTGTCAGGGTCATACTGTAGTTCTGAGCAGCGATCTTAGCTGTAACCTACTTTCACCTCTCCTCTCAATCATGTGAAAAACACACAAGTCATTCTTTATAATCCTATAAGCTCCATCTATTGACATATCAGCTCTCTGTGACACAGAACGACGTGTGTAGAAACATTAATGT